TTGAAATTTGATTGGTCAATCATCTAAAATGCGATATATAAGCACATCGCAGGTTGCGATGCCTAATTAAGTCCTTTATTAAATATATATCCTCACTTTATAATCGCGACAAACCCAGATGAAATATGCTTTTCGAAGCAGGGTCGATTTTTTCGGATAGTTGACTCTATACCTATTATATTTTTGCAAAGCATCAAAGAGTATAAAATAAACTAGTAATACGTTCGTGTAAAGCTCGGATCCGTTATCTGTTTCCATATTAAACTTAACAGGTATCCAACAGATTTCGTAATTAAATTTACAGTCAGACCTCTATAATTGCAACCTCCTCGGAACCATAGAACGAGTTTTTAAAAACGGTTATTTAGGGAGAATTCGCATAATGGGTGCATTTATAGAGGATGCAATTATAGTCTGACTGTGTATCTAACGGATAACAGATCCAAGCATTACTTTCGTGAATTATCGCGACTCACCAGATACTTTTAAGAATACTTGCGAATGGGGTGACACCGATGCCGGCTCCAATAAGTATCGATATCTCAAAATTGAATACATCCTCCGATGCACTTCCAAAAGGACCGTCAATCATAATTTTGGGTAGGTTGTTTTGAAATTCAGGATTGTTTGAAGAAATATCAATTCCTTCATATTGACTTTTTTCTCTATTTTTAGTTAATCTTTCTTCATCAAAATTACAACCAAGCGTTTTAGCGAAAGCTTCGGTGAAATCGCCAACAACACGTATATGAACTGAGACATAATCTTCTTCAGGGGCGGAAGTTAAAGTAAAAGGATGCCATTCCCAATATGATATTTCTGGACAACATAAATATATATATTGCCCAACTTTAGTTACAATACTATCCTTTTTAATCTGAACTTCCACAACGCATGAAGGATGCATGATAACCTTTGAAATACGAGTTTTTTGATGTGCACGTATTTCACGGAGAATACGTTCACCAACATAAATAACTCCAGATGCGATCCAATATTTCCAAAATGCAGCAATATTGTCGCAGTATGGTGGGCGGTCGGGTTTAATCATACAGAATGCGCCATGAAAAGACCAAGCACCAAAGAAAAAAATGAAAAGATGATGAAGGTACCAGAAACGATTAAAATGATTTCGTCTGTTACCTTCTGTCGCGGTAACCACCATAACTAACAAACAGATTAACATTACATAACCTGTAGCACCAGGTCCTGTGGCAAAATTAAGTTGAAACCACATTATTATACCACCATTATTTGCCTTGGATAATTCATAAAAGTTAATCCAATGAGAAACTGTATGAAGCAGCGAGAAAAATACGATTGACCATCCAATAGCTTTATGAAATTCAATATGATTGTCAAAGGGAATAATCCTATTTAAAGGTGTGGCACGAATCATAGTAATTAAATTTCGGCAAACAGGAAACAAGATCATAGCAGCATCAATATGCAGAACCAATGCTGATGAGCGCGCAATTACGAATGTTAACCCATAAGTTGCTCGTGCATTTTCCAAATCGTCATTAAGTTGATAGTTGATAAAGGACATGGAAAATATTAGGATATGCAAAAATATCCATACGCCAAAAAAAAGTTTTTTAGCCCCTACGATATTATAGCAAAGTAAAAGATATTTATTAACATATGCGAAAAATGATGGGAGTCTATAATCGAAAATCACGTGTCTGCGAAAACATAGCAATGTTTCTTAATATTTCTAACTTTATTATTAGTTTGGAATTAACGTTAAACATAGTATGTAGTTTTTATGTCAACCTAAATTCGATTAAGCCGACCGTGCAGGCCTCTAGCCGAAGAAAATAATGGTCACTAATATCACGTGATTGCCAGACTCTCATAAGGATAAGTTGCGCAATCAGATCGACCAAAATCCAGGGCCGGAATAGGCCGGAATCGATAAATTTCGCTTCAAATCATCTACATATCGGCCAATTTTTGAAATTTATAAATAGAGTGTATTTTTTAAAAACTTCAAAGCTAAATAACTTCTGATCTACTTATCCGTTTT